TTGTCAAGAAGGTTTTCAAATGGTAAAGTGAAATGTAGGGAAACGATGAAAACCGTTTGCGGGAAGGAAAAACGGGAATCTTAATCTGCCTATTAATTCAAGGCTTGTAACATGAAATGACGGAAAGAATATTGACATGCAATCTTTACGGTTTCGTTTGTTTTAAGAACAGGTTGTCAAGACAGAAATCAGAGGGTGTGGCGCCTAGAAACTTCTACACCTTCTGTCATGTTTCTCTTGTGGGATCCCTAGTGTTTTTTGTAGTTTGGAGCTTACTTCATTTCTATTGGCCACTTTAGAAACGAGGAAGAGAATGGGGCGAGTTTTGAATCTAATTCACCTTTTCGGCGATAGCCGTCACGTTGTAATCACTTTGTCGGATTGTGTTACGGTCACCAAAATGTTCGGACATCGTTCTCGGATTCCCATACGAATTCACTGAGTTTATCTGTACGAAAATCCCAGAACAATGTCCGAACTTCTTGGTGACCGTAACACAATCCAACACAACTTAAACCACGTGACRGCTAGCGCCGAAAAGGTGAATTAGCAAAATAGGTTTGTCAGAAAAAGCATCTCAATATCAGTAAGTCTCTGAAATTTGAACGCGTTTCGTTAAAATGAATCAAAATTAAAGTTACGAGCCTTCAGAAGTGTGATAAATTTACAAAGAATGTATCGTTACAGGGGTCAAGTGTTCAAAACTCGCACAAGTCTCTTGCTCATTTCTAAAGTGGCCCTGAGAAAAGTGTAAGTTCGGTCTTACTGTCACCATAATCTAATGGGGAGTTTGAATACTTAGGAAAACCTTCTATTTTTTTCTAGTTCAAAAACTCACCCGAAATCAAACTCAGTGCAAATCAAAGATAGCCGTGACACAATATATAATTTTAAGGCATGGTCTAGAACATGGACTGGACTGGACCCGAGAAAACATGGACCGTGGTAGAAAATATGGACTCGGGTTCAGACACATCTGGAAACCTTATCTATCTGTATGTCACATTGACGATCATCATAATGTAGCAATTTTTAAAATCTTTTTTAGATACATTTTCAAAATTTCATACGCAAACTATTCGTGCCGGTTTTTATTCAAACGGCGAACAAGAATGTGACCAGGAAGATAATGGATCCAATATGAATGTTATTAGTAGTATAGGGTGATGAGAACAATATACACAATAGGTATCATCAGTAGTACAAGATGATACATGAACACCATCAATACCATTAGTGGTATAGGGTGATATGAGAACACTATACACAATAGGTATCATCAGTAGTACAA